AGAGAGAGAGAGAGAGAGAGAGAGAGAGAATGATTAATTAGCTTATTATGATTGTTGTATAAATAATTGATTGGTCAAAGTGTAGCAAAAAAACACGCCTTCATTAGATAGGTTAGGAACCGAAGTTGGCTTTTGTCGTGATTAATGGTGGAGAGGGCGAGTTTGACAGTCTTTCCATCGATCTCCACACCCATCTCACTGGAGTCACCACTATTGATCCACATCATAGTGTGCCGCCACACGTGTTAAATATATTGTATAATTTTGGATAATACATACCCGTATGGCATAGAATAGTCGACCGCAAACTTTAAAAATAGGGTCATTTTATTCACAACTCTGTATAAGTAATAAAAATAATATAAAACATGCGATTAATATAAAATAAATACTGTATATAAGCTTAGAAGACAATTAATATCAATTATATACCGGTCGCCGACGGCCACACATTTAATCGTTGGCTATTTATATGCAATGAAACAAGTTATAACTATTTATTTAATTTTGTTTAATATATTCCATTTACTTTACACATGTAAACTATTTAATGCTTATGGTATATATAATTAATACTAGCATATAAAATAATAATTAAACTTGCTAACCATATTATCGACATTACCCGTCCCATTGTCTAAAGGGTGTCCACTCAGCCCACAATCGCCGGTTGACTCCCGGCGCGTGTTTGACGAATCGCCGGCCTTTGAGGCCAACTCCTTGGCCGCCGATCGCAAAGAATTGCATTCGCTTTCAAACTCTTTACTCTTTTGTTGCCATTTATTACTCTCTGCCTTCAGTTCGTCGATACAGTTGTGTTCGTCGGGCGACTGACCGCTGATAGAGAGCTCACACGTCGGACACAACCGGTGCGGACACGACTCGATGTGTGCCGACAGTGACTCCAGCGGACACAACTCGTGACATCCGTTGCGCTCGTAATCGCAGCGTATCTTCAGTTGAGCGACGATTTCATTGAGTATACGATTCTTGACAACCAAAACTCGACCACCGATTGTCATCGCATTACCGCCGCTGTCGGCGCCCCAATCGGTCATCCAATCGGCGGTCAATTGACGCCTACATTGCGGACAGAGTGTGTCGTCATTGGATGCGCTGATCCATCGACTGAGACACTCGTAGCAGAACCTGTGCTGACACTGTGTTTCCACCGACTGGTCGTGGACTACCGCACTTTAACTGTTGAGCCAAAGACTGGTCGGCACAGCGATCGCAACCGATGGCAACCATTTGATGATATCTTGTATTGACTATTATATACTAATTGTATGTTTTATTGAGCACTCAATACAATGAATGTGAAAATTTAGTTAAAAGTATTATTAATAACTTATATTAATAAGTTTACGTGAGGCAATTAAGTCATATTTAATCTACGATTATTATATTTAAGTTATGTACAATTTATGCGAATGGACTACTGTGTAAATAATGTACTGTATAATACGTTTACATTAATGTTTTTAATCATTATATAAACAATATTTAATATACTGTAAATATGCTGTATTTAATCAATGATAAAATATTTTAAATAAATTTTAATAAAAATATATTTATGATAACATAGACCAAAGTCTAGTCATACAGTACTGTATATAATGATTATAAATTGAGAAAATGTATGACAAAACAAATTGCTTTGCCAACAAATTGCTTTGCTTCGCCAATTATAGACATTTTAGTATAAAATAGAAGCATTTCTTTATTATAAATATTAATTTTAAATTAAATATTTTACTTTAATTAAGTTAGACTTATTAAGCTATATTTTAATGTAATGGTATATAAAGTGTATAATAAAGATAATCGGATATGAAATATTGTTAATAATAATAATTGCAAACTTAATACATTAAATGAAAAAAACAAAATTATATTTGATTTAAAATTTTAAAATGTTATCGAGATTAATTAGCCTCATTTTGCATGTTATCAAATTAATTTAAATATTATTATAAATGATTAAATCATAATTTATAATTCAAACTTCTCATCAAAATGTATTACAATACAGTATAATTGAAACGCTAAATACGAGTCGCGATTCATTGTATTTCAATGGATATCATATTTAAATAATGATTTATATAAGAGATGTGTTGAACAACCCATACAAACATATAAAGTAATATTATTTTTAAAAATTTCTCGCATATAAATAAAAATCAATTACTGCAAAATGTATTTAACTCTATTAACAGGCAATTAAATTTACAAATTACTATTTCTTATAAAGATTTCATATAATTTTTAATTATTAATTTAATCAATATTAGAGTTTAGCATATATTGGATGACAAGTAATGCATTTCACGCAGAAATGGCTAATTATCCCAACATTACTACCGATGAGTGCGGGATATCCAGGGATTCACTACTGATGGACAACAATTGCTTTACATATCATAAAATAGATAATACAATGAATACCATATACAATGGTAGACGTGCCACAGTTGGAGAGCTACCTTGGCACGTTTTTATAAACAAATCCGTCGAACATCTAGGGGAGTGAGTTATATCATTATATTATTATTCCATTTGTAATAAACATAGAATATAATATTTACAATATATAATAAAATTTATAAAGGTATCAATATTTATATAAATATCAGGATAATTTATTATTGTTTGTAAGGTAGTTTGTACAGTAGTATTATGTGTATGCTGTATGACCTCGATAGAAACCCATTATATTACTCCACATTTAATATATATTTTAGTACAGCTATTGATTATATGAATCTCTTTTATAACCCAGTAACATGTGTGGGGGTAGTATACTAAACGAATGGTGGATTGTAACCGCCGCACACTGTGTCATGTAAGTAATTGATAGAGTATCCAGCACAGTTATCTCACAAAATGAATAATTTAAAATAATCTAGAACCAGACCCAATGTTGTTAATAATATTTCCGTTATAACCATTCACACGGCGACTCTCAACAAATATAATCCGGGTCAAGGATATCAACCAAAGAGACTTATAATTCATCCAGGTTATCAGATTAATCGTACATTTTCTGACGATATAGCACTCATTGAACTGAACACTGCGCTGGACTTCACGGCCCCGAAGGGCTCACACTATCGGCGGGTAAACAGCGTTTGTCTCCCGAAAGCAGACATTTATAACACTCGCAAAGAGTACGCTTTGGTGGCGGGTTTTGGTCTACTTAATTGGACAACTGCTCCTAATTGGCTACAGATGGGTTGGGCTAGAATTGATCCTGCATCTTCTAACCCTGATGCTTTGAATAGAAGATTGCTAACAATGATTACTGTGAGTCAATTTGGTGACAGCGCATTGACATGTGGGGTGAGTATTGTGAGGGATATAAGGATTTAAAAATGTAATTGTGATTGTTATATGTAAATAGGGTGATAGTGGCGGTGGAGTAATACAGTGGCAAAATGGTAGGGCTGTGTTGATAGGGTTGGTTCAGTCGGGTAAAGGTTGCCATAGTAACTCATTGGCCGCTTACGTACGCTTATCGTTGAAAGTTAATTGGATTAACGAACAAATTAACGGCATTTGATTTACATTAAACAGACAACTCGTGGATTTAACATTAATTTTATATAATCTCTCTCTCTCT